TTTCTTTTGGGTTAGTTTACTCCAAAACTACACTTTTTGACCATTTTGTATTTGGCCTCCTCTTTTCTTTTTTTTCCTCTTTATTCGATTCGAGTTAATTATTCTAACATATTTTATGTTATTGCGATTCATAGATGATATTGATATACATTATAATATTATGATATATTGATTTATTTTACGAGTTTTGATCACTTTATCAAAAAAGAAAGACTTCATTTTAAAGGGAGTGAAGGGTATTTAAAAGTGGAGTCGTAAATATTCTAGGTCCCTTCTTAGCCGCTGAATCACTATAATTTCTGGTTTCGTTAAACCTTTTACCATCCATTGTATCACAATCATCTTAAGGATAGAGAACCAAGTTTATTTTTTTCTTTGAATAAAATGTCCAGACATAGAATAATCATTTGAGTAAGCATTGTTGTTACAATATAATCTCATTGTTAGAAATATATCCTATCTAAAATTATCCAAAAATTGTACTCCAATCCACAAATAACATATAATTCAGAAATTTTAGGCTATTGTTGCAATTATATCGGCCTAAATTAGCCTGAAATTAGTCCAAATAATTAAACAATAACCTAAAGTATAGTCCCAACACTAAAGTTTGCTAAGTTAATTTTTGGTGGATATTCGATAGTTTATAAAGTTTAGTATCATGATCCGTCACTTTTAAAGTCGAAATCCGTGATATTAGGCTATCATTTAAATAGATTTACCCAACCCCAAAAAATCCGGGTCGGGTTATATTGTGTCGGATCTTTTTTTCTTATCTAGACTTTGATGAAGAACACAACACAATGACAGAGAAGCTCTGAGTTTCCCCTTAGCTGTTGAAAATGATGTTATCAATGGCTACACAGCTTACTGTGAATTGGGTTCCTGCGTTTTCTTCTCAAAACCAATTTTTTTCACCCAAATTTGTCTTCTTTACAAAGGGGCAGTCTTTTTCTCGACGTTCTAATGTCTCAGCAATCGTACCCAGAAGAAATCTTGGGGGTTTTGCTACTTCAGCTGCGGCTGCCTTGAGTTTTGCTGAAGAAACATCGACCCGTGATTCTATTTCCTCAGATTCTCTTCAAAAAGAGGTAATTTTCACTCTCTGACTTCCCTCTTAGGTGTTGTTTGGTAGAGTGTGTATAAGTATCAGTAATGCTGCGATTATTTCCTATCCATTGTTTGGTTTCTGTTTGTTAACCAACCAACACCTGCACAACTGGCCCTTGTTTTCGGGGGCGAGCTTAGTGCACCAGGCTGTGGACAGTACATGGTCCAGAGGGAGCTTAGTGCATCGCGCTGCCCGTTATAATCCTTTAGTTTTTTGTTGAATTGTGGGAAGTGAACCATCCTCTTAATGTTAAAAGATTTTGCATCCAAGGGTGTGTCTTAATTGTCAATAGAACTAGAATGAAAAAGATTACAATGGAAGACCATGTAATAATCCACCAGAGGCACTATGAAGAATAATATGTAGTTTCTTCCGATTTGGGGATCGCCTGGAAATTGGAATACTAATTTTAAAAAAGAAAAGTTGTAAGCTTAGGAATAATGGGGCAGATTTATTTATAGGAAAAGGGCCAATTTTTCTCTTGAACTATTTGAAATAAGATTACTTTGTTGTCCGTTTCGGTTTTTGGCACAAAAATACCTTTGCCATTAGCTGGCTTGATAAATCACATTCTTACTATGCTATCATCTTTTAAGTTGATCAAAGTGTAAGTTTGTATTCAGTTATATCATAACATTCAATCTCTCCGTACTAGCGTAAAGTAGATATTCGAGTTAACTTTATACTATGGGAACGTTATTAGTATCTTTTTTCAGTTGACAGGAAAAAGGTCTTTCTCGTAAAAGATAGCATTAATTTGTGAAGATTTGCTATCAAGAACAAGTTCTTAATACCTAATCAATATTCATTAATGACCAAGCAAATAAATTTGTTTTCGTTAGGGATGATATATAAAATGTTAAACATGACCAGATGCCTCATTGGTTCCAAAATTTTGTGGGTGATATTGACTTTGTTTAAGGACTGGAGGATAACTTTGTCCCTTTTCCATCTGAGTGGGACAACCGTTAGTGAGTAGGGAAATTTTGAGCCACTTGGCTAACAGCGATGGCATTTTTGTTTCATAAAACGAAATGGAGGACATAATTGTCCTATTTCAAAAATTTAAAAAGCAAAATTGGTCTTTTATCTTTATTTTTATTATGTCTGAAAGGCTGCAACAGATCTCCACGGGTTTGATTAGTTTTCTTTTCCGATTCTTTTTTCTTGAACCAAGTTGATGGATGACGGTTCAAACCAGTGCATCTGTCGTTTTAATACGATGTTGGGTGAATGTCTCATTTAGTTGTTTAACCTGTTAAAAAAAATTGTTTTTATTTATTTTGTTATGTATGCAACACGTCTCCTCGGCTCTGTTTCTTTCTTGGACCAAATTGATGGCTGGTTCTTCGTACCAATGCATCTGTGTACTTTAATACTATGCTGCGTGAATGTCTCAAGACATTTATAAGTTCAATGGTTAGAGACGAACTGCTTTGATTTACATAGTTATGTCTGCAATATCTTTATTTTGGTGTTTGATTCTCATTTTATTTAGTTTTTTAAGAATTTCATAATATTTGCACCATTTTCATTATGGTGTTTGGCTCTTACAATCTGCTGGATGTACAGAAGCTCGGTGTGTTGGTCAAGCCACTGGAGAAACCTAGGCTAGTGTTGAAGTTTATTTGGATGGAGAAGAACATCGGAATTTCACTAGACCAGGTAATTCCTGGTCATGGCACGATTCCGTTGAGCCCCTACTATTTTTGGCCTAGAAAAGATGCTTGGGAGGAACTTAAAGTCATGCTCGAGAGTAAACCATGGATATCCCAGAAACAGGCAATTATTCTTCTTAATCAGGCCACGGATATCATCAATTTGTGGCAACAGAGTGGTGGTGATTTAGCCTAAGCCTTCATAGAACAAGATTTGTCATGCTGCCACTGTTCATCATTTATCTTTAGCAATCATGCCTGTTATGTTGTAACTTTTTTCACTTGAAAGGTCAGTCAAAACTTATTCAATTTGTTTGTTTAGATTTTCCTCTTGTTTCCTTTAGTTTTTGGATCATATTGTAAACTATATATCTTAAAATGTTAGCCTTGGTTCTTCATGAATATTAACATCTAACAGAAACAAAATTAAATTGTACTGATGGTAGGAATTTATCTATGTTGAGTATCGCACGTCGTGGGGATAGTACGCTCATTTGGTCTCTTTATATAGTCTTGGCTAATCCTTCTCCATTTGCTAGGTCCAAGATTCATTTCTCATCAAAGGTATCTAATCCAGACCCATCGCAATTCATCGTTTTCGATGTTGGCCCCATCATATATTGTTAAAGTGTCCCTCATTGGTTGGGATAGGGTCATTTGGTATCCTTATATGGTCTTGGACTATCCCTTTAATGAGTTAAGTTTTGGGGTTGAATTAGGCTAGTGATTTATATTTCTTACCATATAGCTTGGGGTTGAACAACGACAATAACATATTCATCCCATAAGTGAGGTCTAAGAAGGTGAAATGTACAGATTTTATCTCTATTTGTGAGAGGTGGAGAAGTTATTTTTAATAAATCTTCGGTAAGTCTATCTCCTTTCATGTATCTCTTTCAAAGCTTTGTCCTTCCACAATCCATATTTTATGGTCGAGGCAGAATCAAGATTCATAGTGTATAGGTTTTCGATCATAATTTTTTTTTCTTATTGGGTTCTAATAAATTAAATATATATATATATATATAACTATTTAATTGAGAACTTATTAACTCAGATGAGTTATGCGTTCATTAGCAAGTTAAACCATTAATAAACTTCAAATTTTAACTCCATCTTTAAATCAGGGCCGAACTTGAAAGGGAGTTCGAAGTTGAAAATTTGCATTTCATTTACAAGGTTAAAATCAAGTTGAACCTCCTTAAACTTTTTGTATTATATATGTATATATATTAGACGTAGCATACTAGTCTATAAGCTATTAGGGGTGTAAAAATAGTCTCTATCAATGGTGACAAAAATTAGATACCAAATATCAACTAATATTTAATAAAGATATTGTTCAACGAAGCCTTGTAAATTATGTTGGAGAACCTTAATAGTTTAATTAATTAACTACACGAGCTTTCATCTTATTAGTGACCGGTGAAACTCCCTCTCCCCTGCCCCATAAGAAAAGGAGCACAACAAATTAAATTTCTAGAACTACAATTTTGTAAAAAAAGAAAATCAAGTTCGTTTAAGGAACTTCTAATTTTCTAGATAACGACACAAAATGTCCATGAATTAACATTAGAAAAGAGCAATTTAGGAAATATTAATACTAAAGGAAATATTCTTGTCTTTTGAAAACAATCTCATTACAAAGAAATCAAATTAGGCAGTTAACTGCAACACCTTAAAAACCACAAGGAAGTTGAATGCTGCAGGAAAAACCTAAGGCGAGGTCTCTGAAAATATTGCCAAACAGTAACTACTTCACCTGTGTTCAACGATACTCTTAACCATCAAATGCGACAAGTTAGATCACTATGACTGACACTTCAGCAACAACTATAGCAAAACACGAGATTAAAATTATTGTACAAAAGTGACTAAAACCCGCCATAGGTACTTTGAGTAACTCAGTATTGAGAATCAATAATGGTAGGAGCCTTGTGCAGCCATATTCTGGTATGGTGGTGGCGCCTGCTGGTGTTGGTGCTGCTGCGAGTTGATGTTTTGATATGGAGCTTGATGAGGATTAGGGTTCTGGTAAGGCAATTGGGAAGGACTACCACTAGGGTAACCACCTTTAGCTGGATAACTTTGATAAGCACTTTGTTGAGCAGCATAATTCTGGTGGTAAGCGCCTTGATGAATATTACTGCTCTGTCCAGCAGGAGAACCGTATCCTTGGAAAGTAGGCCGCCCAGCATTCAAGTTCTCGGAGGACCCATGAAAAACATTGTGCCCAGCATTCATACGATCTGAAGTGCCCCGAATATCATCAACGAATCCAGGTCCAATAGAACGAGGATCCTGATATCTTGCACTACTTCCAGCAAACTGTGATTCAAACAAAGGATTAGCAACAAGAACTACATGAAATAGAAATCAACAGTCAAGTTCTGAACGCAACATCGGCTCAATAAATAATCCATTTCTCATGCTATAACCAAATCCCCAGTTATGGGGATATAAGTAGGAATAATAGCTTCTGGCCTTAGATTTTTGTGTCTTGATGCCGCTGCTAAACTTTTTAACAAAATAGTTCAATACTTAATCAATTAGAGCCTTGACATAAAAAAAAGTTAACAGAAATGCATAGCTGTTTCTACCTTCAACCCAGGATATTGGCTGTTACAGTTGCAAAGGGAGCAAAGTGGGAAAAGTCACAATTGACTCCTTCGTCAGGATTTTAGGAGTGATTAGGAGAGGGCGTTGTTTGAATTATCAAAACTTCAATTTTGATTTTAAATTTTTTGGATTTTTATTTTTTTGAGAATGGCAATGTTGTATAATCTATGTTGCTCGGACTCTTCAAAAAATCCCAATGGGTGCATGTCAAATTCGCCAAAAGTATTGTATTTTTGAAGAATCCGAGACGGGTGCAGCATCATAAGTGAAGAGTCCATCACTGGCACATAGTTTGATGCAATTCAACACTTCATCAAATTGCCTTAGTAACTATTCTTTTTCCTCCAGGTTAATACCTTCAACCCCTTAAAGATTATAATCAGGCCTCCAATATTCAGTTTCTTTGTAAAGATTCTGATAGAACTGATGATTTCCCTTTATGTCTTCTGGATCTGAAACAAAAGTCCCATCCACTACTAAAGTATCAAATAGAGTTGAATCTCTTATGTCTTGTGGCAACTGTAGGAAAATATTTAGTTTTCTTGTGCCCTTACTTGAGCCATAGCACTCTGGATCTCTATCCCCAAGCTATTTCCTCATTTCTGGCCAAGTGGATTTTTTTGAAGGAGGTCACACTCAGATAGGATTCTCTTTTCCTGGATCTTATAATCTACTGAGGTCCTCCATTTCCTCTCTCTTCACCTAGAAAAAGAAAATGTGAAAAATCATTCTCAGACATAAAACTTCAACTATCTTCTAGGTTCTCCATTTCATCTCACTTTGTACCCTTCACAGAAATAGTGGTATCTTTAATATAACTTGTACAATCCTCACCTCTTAAGCTAGCTTTTGGGATTGAGTAAGACCCAAAATCCATTTCTTTACATGGTATTTGAGCAGGACTCATCCCAATTCCTATTTCCAATGTAGGGGACATATTAAATTCCCACACGCCATCGAGCTAGCTTCTGCGGTCCTACATCGGCCCTTTAAGGGATGGATGGTCTCTCTATTATGTCTTGGGCAATCCTCACTTCTTGAGCTAACTTTTGGGGTTGAGTTTAGGCTCAAGATTTGATTCTTTACAAGAAATTTATTACATATGAAATGAACACATATAAAGAACAACATTTCAAAGTATCAAAACTTGAATATGAAAATACATGTAGTTTTTCCCTAGCATGTCCTCAATATAACATAAAAAGGGGAAGGATTTTTAGATTCCTATATGGTGGAAAAAAAGGTGGAGTCGGCAGTAACAATATCAAGCAGTTCACCCAAAAAGGAGGTTATCAAAAAAAAAAGAAGAGGAAAATAACACAATGCAAGTCTTCTACCTGGTTGGAGTAATATGGACTGAATGAACAGACAAAAGAACTCACTAAATCATCTATTAGTAGCTCCAGGCAAAGAATAATTTACCTCATCAATGTTGTACCCTCCTGTTCCTTTTGCAGTACCATAAGAATGGTCTGGAAACTTCATCTCTGGGGGACTACGGGTATTTGAGAATCTGGGGTTCACAATGGTTTACAGATGAAGTGCAATAGAAAAAACAGTGGAAAAAGAACATATTCCGGAATTGGTAGTACCTAGTGGCAATGGGAAGATCTGGATAACTTGGATGGTCACATTCACGAACAGCACCCTACAAAGAGAAAGTGGCACTTCTTTAGTTAACTGGACTAACTGAAAAGACCAAGGCAGCAAATGTTTTCCACAACTCAGGAAAGTGTGACAAGTCACTTATTCAAAATCCAAATATATGGTCAAGGGGAAAATACTATAGACAATCACAGAAATATATGGCAAGGCATATCTCATGTACAATTCTAGTAAATTCATTTTAAATACAGGATTGGTGCCTCATAACACCACAACATTAAATGAATTAGATGATACATTCTGCAGGTCATACTGGTAGTGCAAGGTTGCTAGAACTTGGTGCTCTCCTCGTGTGAATTATCCTTAAAGAGGTTACAACAAATATGTCACACTACCCCATAAAACCAAAACATAGAAGATCGGAAATAAAGGTATGAATTGCCCCAGGCTCCACTGTTATCAAAACAAAAGTCAAGGTATAAGCTCCCGTAGAAGAACATTAGCCAGATAATCTTCCCTACCTTCAAATGTTCATATCTTCTAGAGCTACCAGCCCCCATCACACCTGAACGTTGTGGGTCTCGACTTCGAAAATCCTCTGATGGAACAAATCCAGGAAGTGGCCTAACATGAGTAGACTCCACTTTACTATTTGCATCCCTAAGGCATCTTTCTCTGAGCCTTGAAGAAATCTCAACCAAGGCATCTTTTGCAACACCGATGCTTCCAGATATCTGAATAAACAGAACTTCAATTACTTTGAGATTAAAATTTCTCACAAAATCGTGGAAACACAATACCGACATGCACTAGAAAATTGAAACTAGGTCATATCACATAAGTGAACCAGAAAAGCCTAAGTCAAACTTGCATACTACAGATAAATCACCTGCACAAGCTCTTCATCTGCAGATGCGCATCTGGGTTTTTCGTCCTTGGAAAGAACACGAATATCCGCCTGTGTTCTCCTTCTCATCTCATTGATAACCTGTCCTCCTTGTCCAATAATGCAGCCAACCTTATTTGAGGGGAAAAGAAGCCTCGTAGTGACAATTCCTTTGTCAGAAAATTCACTTGTTTTACTTTGAAGTTGGAGAATGGCATCAATAGTTCGTGATCTGGGATCCCAAAAAGACTGGAAGGAAAACTATGGCTTAGTGACATGCTATCAGTATGTTAATATTATGAATTCCTCAAGTAGAAACATTACCTCCAAAGAGGAGACACGAATAACTCTTTCATCAGATTCAGGTGCGACATCCTCAACATGTATACCTGCTCCTGTTTCCTGCTGCAGTTGTTTTACATTGAAGCCTCCCTTGCCTATAACACCACCAATTTTTGCAGCTGAGCACAGAATTTTCATGGTGAAATCACCTGGAGCTTCACCAGCACTAGGGGGAGGACCATAATCAAAATCTGCACGGCCAAATCCAGTAAGCTGGTTCCTATAGCCTCCCACCCCTAATGCAGGCGGCATACCATTTAAATTAGTTTTACTTTGAGACCACATTGGTTTTCCTGGAGGAATCATATTTTCCATGGGAGGACCAGGGGGGTGAAAACCTTGAGCACCATGTACCATAGGAAAACTCGAGATAGGTTTGTCTTTTCGAGGATTCTGATGCAACAGAGTTGATACTTCATACAAGGCTTTTTTCACTAAAGCAGGTTTGCCTGAGATCTGAGAAGGAAAAAAACAGTATTGAAAAAATTCTGACATGATATGTCCCAAAGAAAGATAATTAATTCAACTTCCAAGACAATTAGCAAGAAAACTAAAACTACAGAACTATATTCCCCAATAGAAATAGTAGTTTGGAACATGATTGCATCCGGACAAAGGCAATTACCACCATAAAACCAAGAGACTAAACAGAGTTGAAACCCCAAATACCTGATTATCTATTAGATGTTTCACATAAAAAAATAGCATGGCTACCCAAAAAGACAGACAGATTGGAGAGAGAGAGAGACAAACAAAATTCTAGCATAACTTCCATTTGCATAATTTAATGCAGAGACAGAAAATTTCTGCTTGTCAAAGAGGTACATTGTTTTTTCAAGTTAAAATAAAAAACTCAATGAGGAAATTACGAGTCAGATAAACAATAGCTACTAGACAGCTCGTCTAGTATTCATGGACTTGAATTGCACACTAGCACTAAGGTATCAGGACTAGCAGAGGCTTGAAGACAATCATAGGGAGAAAAAAGAGATTTACAAAAACCATCTGATCAATGCAACTGCTGCATGTAGAACGAAGATCAGTACAGATGAACAATTAGTTAAAGTAAAAAATACTCTTTCCTTTTCACACTCTGCACCATCACACTCTCCAAGTAATGAAAGTTCATATCAAAACTCACTCACATAAGAAACACAAAAGAAACTAAATAATCTATGAATCCAAAGAAAAGAACATGATACTTACTTGGACCAATTCATCAGTGGTCATAGCACAAGCGGGCAAATGCTCAGCAGAAAGGACACGAATGCTAGCCCCAGTCTCACTTCGCAATTTCTGAATAACATCGCCTTTTCTTCCTAAAAGGCATCCAACCAAATTGTTCGGAACAAGGAGACGCGTGATTATTACAGCTTCACTCTTATCCTCATTTTGTACTCCCAGCAAGTCTTCCTCAACAATCCTATTGTGAACTTTTAACAGAGCATCTTGTGCGGCACAATGTGGCTCCATGGAATAATTCTCTTCCTTTGTCTCTGGATTATCATTGTTTTTGTCATTATTCTGTCTCCTAGCTAGTTTTGTAGAGGGACTGGAGATGATTACTATTCTATCATCAGAACCAGGAACACTGTCAGCAACTGTAATCTTTGCTTGAGTTTCCTCTCTCAAGGCTTTGATTATGCTACCACCTTTTCCAATTACGCTACCAACTTTTTTGGATTGACAAAGTATACAATAGGTAGTATCTGAACTCTGAGAATTTTCAGATGACCGTTCATGACTAGAAAAATTCAACTTTGCATTTTTACTGCCTCCTTTCCTCTTGAATTGGGGGTTCGAGCGTTGCTTGAGAGAATTTCTTTTGTATTCGTCCATGACTAGATGGATTGAGTTATTATCAACTAAAAGAACCTTCTTATTCCTTTGGGCAACTTCTCCTTGCTTCAGCACTTACTCCAACAAGGATATGACCTGAAAAAGGAAAAACATTTAACAAGAGACAGAGAGGGCAGCAACTACAAACATTAAATAACTTGTAAGGTACGATTAAGAGACAGAGAGGGCAGCGACTACAAACATAAGCGAGCTAAATAACTTATAAGGTATGATAGCATCCATTCTTCAAAGAAGTGTATGATCGCATCCATAAGTATTGATACGGTATGCAAGCAGGAAGACATTTCTGCTAAACATGAGCGTGCTTAAGTTTCAAAAGTCACACCAACAGAAATGAAACTAACACATAATCATCAATAATAATAACTATACAAAGTAAAAATAAAAATATATGAACAGAAATAATAATTAATGCACCAAAATATATAGCTATAGCTAAATGAAACAAATGTCACTATGGAAAAACACCACTAACACGACAAAACTATGTCAATTTAACCAAAACATATCAACACGGACTAAAGATAGGGAACAAAACAATAAAATAAATAAAGTTGACAGAGGAATTTTTCCAAACAACTAAAAATATTAACAAAGGTCTTCAATAAGAACAGAAAGTCCAAACAGTAGCAGTGAACCAAAGCAACAAGAAATTGTAAAATTATTTGAAACTTCTTACCAAACTAGGTGAAAACAGTGGAGCTCGCTGGAATTTTGAGTTTTGGGGTTATGTGAATGGCTTTGTCGGAGCAACATCGAGGTTGCTGGATCTGGCCGGAGTTGTGGTTATAGTCCGTCACTGCTGGAGTTGTTTTGATCGGATCTCGGAGCTTCTGTTGACCTGCAAAAAAACATAAACTCGAAAAAAAAGGGAAAGGGGAATGAACTGCGTTGGTGGTGCTGTCTTCGCCGAAGATAGTTGCCGCTGTGAGTTTTGATGTACACTTCCTCTGTTTGTAGCTGTTGCCGGAGATTCCAGCTGCCAGCTACGCTCTGCTGCTGGTCAGAACGAGGAGAAAAAGGAGACGGAGAAAATAGAGGGAGGGGAGGTGAAGGAGAGGGAAGAGGGAAGAGAAGAGGAGGCGGAAAAGAGGGACAAGGAAGGGGCTGGGCGGCTGTGGAGAGAGGGGGGGAAGGGTTTTCTCCCTTAATTTTTTTTCTGAAATTTTTTTTTCTCAAAATTTTAGGTATCTTTAATTTTGTTTTTTATTTATACAATTCTATTTTAAAAAGTGATTTGTAACTAAAGCGTTAAATATGCTAACAATAAATTTACATAATGCCACAATTTTAGGGAAACGTCTCTTTTTTTTAAGATAAACGTTCAAATTAAAAAAAAATTCAAGAAAACTAAATATTATACAGCAAGTGAAACAAAATATAATTATTATTTTTTGCTGTTTGTGAAACTGAAGTTCAGCAATTTTCGCAATCGAATACAGGTAAGTTTTTATTCGATGAAATTCCATGTTTATTATTGCAATAACTATACAATGTTAAATTGGATTTAGAAATTGTGATTTGTGTTCGTTCGTTAGTGTGATGTGATTTTTTTTAAAAAAAAAATTAAAATATGATTTTGTTAAGCTGGAATTTTGTATACAATTATATATTGTTCATGTAATTGTATATGTTATGCGCAGTATTTGTATATTACAAATAAGTTCAGTGTAAGCGAAAATATGTAATCAGTGTTCATAATTGTATATATTCATAAATCATGTGTTTTATTTTTGATAGAATTATATACTATTGTAGATGTAGTGTTTGTATATTAAAAAGAATAACAGTATAAAATTTCTATAATTTGATTGTATAAATAATGTTGTATTAATTTTATATATGATCTCTTTGAATGATTTGAAATATATATATATTTTCTTTTCATAATTGTACAGATAATGGGCTCATTAGCTATTTTGGTTATGCATTCTGGAAAATGGGACGATACAAATAGTTACATTGATTATACTATAAAGGGAGTAGTTTTTAAGGAACAATCAACGTTTCTTGATTTTTATACTACTATTGCCAAACGGATTGGTGTTGATATGAATAATAAGACTTTGAAGATTGAGTACAAGGTTAAAGAAAGCAATAAACGAATGGTTATACACAATGACATGGGTGTCAGAGTGTACGTAATGCTAAAAAAGGCCAACATTGATTTTAACAAATTTCCTATTTGTATAACTATTTTGGATTCATGTGATAGACAGATTTCTCAGTGTAAAGAGATGGGGGTGTTGGCAACTGTTGCAGAAAATGATTGTCATGGTATGATTGTTGTTGAACCGGATGATACAAATGTTGCATTTGTATCGATTGATACAACTTAGGTGATTTCAGACGAATCTAATAAGCATGTTGAGGTTGATCAAGTATACAAGGACAAATCAATTTTGAAAGCATTCATGGAAAGATATGCGATTAAAGAGAGATTTCAGTATAAAACTACTCGGTCAAATTCTATAAGGTAGTGTGCCTCTCAAAATAGTGACTTTTAAACTGTAATGTTTGTATTGCATATTGTAAACTAAATTTGTATACTATATTAAAAATATAATGCAGTTACACTGTGGAATGTTATTCTAAAGGATGTGAATGGTTAATGAAGGCCTCTAATATCAACAAATCTGGAATGTTCAGAATTTGAGCATTCAACCGAAAGCATACATGTCCTTTAAAAGATAGAGTTTGTTCACAAAGACATGTAACTAGCAATTTAATAGGAGGGATTGTGAAACCTAAATTTGTAGATCATAAGCATAAATATACACCAGCAGATATAAGAAAAGATGTTAAGATTGATCTAGGAGTTGATGTTAACTATATGTTGGCTTGGAGGGCCAGGGAGTAAGCATTGAAATCTTTGAGGGGTACACCAGCTGCATCATATGCAAAGTTACCTGCGTATTTGTATATGATGGATATCACTTACCCGGGGTTTCATATACGTATGAAAAAGAATATGAATAATGAGTTCTTGTATCTATTTGTTGCATTGAATACATTTATCCAAGGATTCAATCAATGTAGACCAGTAGTCGTAGTGGATGGTAGTCATTTGCGAGGTCCATATAATGGGACATTTGTTGCAGCATGCACGACAGATGGCGCAGGTATATATATATATATATATATATATATATGTAATAATGTATATGTATATACGTGAATCTGTTGTATATGTACATTTAATATATGATTTTGATATTATTGTAGGACATATATTTCCACTTGCGTATGGTATTATTGATTCAAAAAATGATGTTGCGTGGACTTGATTTTTTGAGCAACTTAAAGAAGCATACGGTGAGAGGAGTAACATGTGTGTTGTGTCTGATAGAAATGAGAACATTATAAAGGTTGTTACAGATGTATACAGTAATGTACCACACTATGCTTGTATGTGGCATTTATGGAATAACGTTCAGAAAAAGTTTAGAAAATCTCATGAGAAGTTATCTGGTGTATTCTATACAATGGCAAAAGCTTGCACAAAGAATGAATTTGATATGTTAATGGATACTGTAGAAAAAGAAGATATAAGAGTGAAAGAGTATTTGGATTTAGCTGGATATGAAAAATGGGCTCTTTGTTATGCACAAGTACATAGAGGATGGCACATGACATCAAATATTGCTGAGAGTATAAATGCAGCACTTGTTTCAGCGAGAGAATTGCCTATTTTTGAATTTCTCGAAGATGTAAGGCTATTATTTGGAAGGTGGAATCATGACTACAAGAAGGAGGCAACCTGCACATTCACATCATTGATTGGAAAATATCATGACATACTAGCAGACAATGAAGCATTGAGCACAAGAATGACGGTATTATTTAAGAATAATTATATATTTAGAAACGTGTAAAAATTTAATTGTATATTATATATTAGTATGAACAACATTTCATTTAATTGTATTTATAAATGAGCAGGTTGTACCGTCAACGAAATATGTGCACAATGTTAATGATGATGGGAGATATTTTGTAGTCTGTCTAAAAGAAAAAACTTGCACCTGTGGAAGATTTCAGTACGAGGAAATACCTTGTGAACATGCTTGGCCTTGTGAACATGCTTGGGCTGTATTGAAATGGAAGAGTCTACCACCAGATGAATATTGCTCAGATTTATACAAACCAAAGACAATGTTGAAGACATATAATATGCCTATACATCCTTTACCGAATGTAAAGGCATAGTTGATTTCGGATAGCGTTATTGCTGATGACGTATTACCTCCAAAATTTAAACGACCTCCTGGCAGACCAAAGGGTAAGCCTCGAAAAAAAACAGCAAGAGAGTTATCGAGGATTAAGGGGAAAAATACATGTAGCACATGTGGAATGGCAGGTCACAATAGGCGTTCGTGTAGGAATAAGCCAAAAGATGTTTAAGGCTGATTATTTTTTCCTAATTAAATTTGAATTGAAACTATATGCATTATGACTTAATTGAAATCTTTGTTTTTGGATACTTATATTACTTAAAGTACGTCGTAATTTTGTTATGTGTTGTACATTAATGTGTGTGTTGTATGACCTACAAAAGTAACTATTATACTCAATAAGTTTTAGCATATACTATATACAATGATTAATTTGAACAACATATATATTTGTTATACAAATTCGTAAATTAAATTTGTATATATATACGCAACATGATAAAATGCTCAACACTAAACAAGTAGATCTTATAAAAATAAAACTTTATTATCCTAAATTATAATAATTTCATTAATTTGTATAAAAAAATGTGCATTTACATATGTAAGGATAAAAAACGTTGAGTTTTAAAAAGAATTTTTATTCATTTAGATTGTATATGTATATATTTATTCAATTATATTGTAGATGCATATACAATTAATAAGTGCTAGTATATACTATATACAGCGAAAAACCTGAACAACATATATCTTTTGTTATACAAATTCGTAAATGCAATTTGTATATGCATATATTTATTCAATAAGATTGTATATGCATATTTAGATTGTATATGTATATATGTATTCAATTAGATTGTATATATATATGTATACAATAATTCAATTAAAATGTTTATGTATGTATTTATTTATATACTATGTTATACAAAATAACACTAATATATAGTATATATCTTATACAATGAACAACATATATATTTGTTATTCAAATTCGTAAATTAAATTTTGTATATATATACGCAACATGATAAAATGTTCAACACTAAACAAGTGATCTTATAAAAATAAAACTTTATTATCCTAAATTATAATAATTTCATTAATTTGTATAAAAAATGTGCATATACATATGTAAGAAATAAAAACGTTGAGTTTCAAAACGAATTTTTATTCATTTAGATTGTATATGTATATATTTATTCAATTATATTGTATATGCATATACAATTAATAAGTGCTAGTATATACTATATACAACAAAAAACCTGAACAACATATTTTTGTTATACAAATTCGTAAATGCAATTTGTATATGTATATATTTATTCAATAAGATTGTATATGCATATTTAGATTGTATATATATATATATGTATTCAATTAGATTGTATATGTATATAAATAATTCAATTAAAATGTATATGTATGTATTTATTTATATAATACGTTATACAAAATAACACTAATATATAATATATACCTTATACAATGAAATGAGTGTGAGTATAAAATATACACAATTAATAATTTGAACAACATATATCTTTGTTATACAAATTCGTAAATGCAATTTGTATATATATACTCAACATGATAAAATGTTCAACAGTAAACAACAAGATCTTATAAAAAAATATAAAACATTATTAGCCTAAAATATAGTAATTGCATTAACTTGTATTGAAAACTCTGTGTGTGTGTGTGTATATATATATATATATATATATATATATATATATGTAAGACACTTAGTTTTAAAAGTAGTTTTTATACAATTAAATTGTATATGTATATATTTATTTATATAATACGTTATACAAAATAACACAAAAAGATAGTGTCATATATTTTTATAACACTAATATGATAGTTCAAAACAAGCAAAATGATATTACGAGTTAATTAAAACAAAAGTTATCTTAAAATTGTTAATCTAAAACTAATATTTAAACTGTCAACTAAAAACCAAAACCATGCTACAACTAAG